TGAAAGAACATGTAGAGAGAGTCATATTGGCATTCGCATCTAGCGCATTGCGCATTTTTCGAATTTTGGCCCCCTTCCAGGGACCTTGTTTTTTACCCGCTCACACTGACGTCGTTAAATTGGTCAGCCGGTTAGCGCGGTCGATGCTAATAATAAAAAAAAACACACACACCTCTTTGCATCAGTGGTTTCCGAGGGTCGGGCGAGGGCATGCGTGGCGCTTTGATGTGTAACTCTGTGAAAAAATATTGCAGAGAGAGTTATATTGGCTTTCGCATTTAGCGCATTGCGCATTTTTCCGAATGTTGCTCCCCTTCCAAGGAGTTTGATTTTCACTGGCCAGCCGATTAGCGCGGTCGATGCCGATAACAAAAGAGAAAATACACACACCACACAGCAACCAAGATGGTGGATGTGGAGGGGGCATCGCAGAGGCGAGAATCGTGTGTACGGGGGCGTGGGGGTATGACATTACTGCGAAAGTGTGAGTAATCGCACATACATAGGGTTTCGTCTGTTGCTCTGTTGTCGAAAACAATCTGCATCACAGAACAAGGGCATGAGGTTCGGTCTCTTGCTGCAAAAGTCTAGAATCATATATCTCACGTACGAGGGCCCTCCTTTTTCTGTCGATTTCTGCTATAATCTTGCATGCATCCGGAATCAACCCGTAACACGTAACACTCACTGGCGTTCATCAATAACCTCGAATCATGCATCTTGCATCTCGCAGCTAAGGTTAGAGCAAGAGTAAGGTTAGGGTGAGGGTTAGCTCGCAATCATGTACATGTATATTGCATCATGCATCATGCATCATGCAATGTATCTTGCATCACGTAGCATGTAGCATGTATCACGTATCATGCATGTTTGTATCTGTGTCTCACGTTCTGCGGGAAGAGCCCAGCACGACATACACCAACAGCCTCGCGCCGCAGAGGCTCAAGAACGCCGGCCCGATGCCCCACAGTGTCGCACGGTAGCCTGGTGGGATGGATGGATGGATGATGCACGAAGAATAACGGTCCGGGGAACAGCGGTGACGGTGCATCGATAATCGATCACGGGATGCCGCTCAAGGCATTGGTCGGTTGCCGATGACAGAACGGCCTTCCTCTCAACACAATGTACTTGACTTGACATGAGACAAGTCTCACATAGACTGTGGCACAAGGCCCTTCCTCTTTCGGAAGTATTTTATCTCACTGCATTTGATCCAGGTTCAAAGCTGGCACCGATCTATCTCCATGCTACACGGATCATGTCCCATCCCATCGGTTCTTATCAAGTGCTACGATGATGTGCTGCCGTCATATAGTACCTGCAAAGAGTCCAGCGAATCCCTCCTCCTTCAAAATCGCCCGAACCATGTCCAAACTTCCGCCCATGCCAGCTCGGAACACTGCCAAGCACCGAGAGATGGATGTAAGACAACAAGGGGACAACTAGACACATTCAACGTGTACGGCAAACGTCTGCGATAGGCGGTGCCGTTGAATGAACGAAAGACAGGTGTGTAGAGTAGCGGCAATGATCAAAGAAATTTTTGCTGACGACACGTTCGGGGACAACAAAGCGAAAAGGGGGTATTTGACACCCAAGAGAGACAAAATAGACTGGTATTGAATTAAACAGTGCAAGAGCAAACGTGAGATGAACGAGAGTTCCAGCTGCCTTGACACGACCCTCTCTTCCAACTGTACCAGCATCTTGGGAAAATAAGGTACAGCCTCACTGCTTTACAGCAGACGGATAGTAACGCGACACATCACACCGAGCATCATCGCCGCGAAGATGGAACATGACCGTCCCGAATCGAGAATATGAAACATCAACGTCGCGGATTACCATCGTCGCGAATATGACACATCATCGTCGAAACGACGGAATATCAAAGTCGCGGATAATGGAATATCACCGTCTCGAAGATGGCACATAATCATCGAACATTTGGTATATGACCGTCCCGAACATGGAACATCACCGCCGTAGATGAGGAACGCCATAATCTCGAATATAGAACACCATCGATGGGGTGGCAACAACAATGCCCACGCGTGAAATCCTCTCGACAAACGGCAACGCCCACGCGTGAAGGTCGAGCAGCAAAGGCAAAATTGTTGATTGAATGTATGGCACGTCTTTGGGGCACAAGGGAGGCACGCATACACGGGACACACGCAACACGGGATTGGGACAAAGGGACGAAAGAATGAACGCAGAGACCGAAATCGTTAAGCCAAAGAGCAGACGACGCGAAGACGAACCGCAACGATGGTGCGTACTAAAAACACAGAACATGCGTCTTGAAACAAAGACAAAGAGCAGACGAAACGAAGAAGAACCCCAGTGATGCGTCTCCTAAAAACAAAAATGGTGGCGTCTTGAAACAAAGAACATGCATCGTGCGTATAAAAAACAAAGAACATGCGTCTTGAAACAAAGACAAAGAGCAGACGAAACGAAGACGAACCGCAATGATGCGTCTCCAAAAAACAAAGATGGTGGCGTCTTGAAACAAAGAACATGCGTCTTGAAACAACAAAGACAAACGTGGCCGTCGACCCATCCCGCCGCAACAGGTTACATGCTTCTTACCTGTGTCCATGCCATCCAGCATCCGGCGAGTCTTGATCAAGAACGGCACCCCCAGGAGGTACCAGTTGCCTGAAAAAAAAAACACACACACACACACACACGCACACACAGAGAGAAAACACACACGCATAGAAAGCACACACCAATGGTGTAGCGATTATATGATGCAGCCGAATACACCCTCGTCCTCAAAAAAAAACATAGCCGCCTCTACGCTTTGTTGCAATGCCGTAGGATAAACGGCATCATCATCGCGGATCATAGTTGGCAAGATAAATAGTTGTAGGGGATATACTTTCGCTTTTTCCTCGCCGTGCGAACACCGTCTACAACCAAGCCAGAGTTATGTCGCAGATGTACACGGTTTTAGACAAAACATGGTCATTTAAGACAACACAAGGGGTATGCAGGGGTTTAAAACAAGACATGGAGTGTGCAGGGGGTTACACGAGTGAGCGATTCAGCGCAAAAGTTGACGACCGACACCATCCCTTCCTCCCGGCCTTACGACTTACTGCCTAAGCAACCGAAACGCAGCTCTAAAGGTTTGATATAGTGCTGACAGTCTGTCAAATGGTGTGATTTTGTGCTGCTAAAAGCCACAACCCTGTAGATCACTACCATCAATCTATCCTGAACTCTTACGCTTTTGACAAAGATGGTACTAATTTTTCGCAGAATAAAGCATAACCCCATTGGTCTCATGATGTCAATCAGCGGTTGTACAATAAAAGGCCACCATCTCGCGTACTGTGGGTACAGTAAATCCACACAAAAAAAAGTCTCACCGAAGGGAAGGAGAACGTTCAAGATTGACGACCTAACCCCTAGGAACAGCCCCGGAAACCCCCTTTGCTTAAGGACGTGTCGCACAGACGACGCTCCGGTGGCGTACTATTGCCATTGCCATTGCCATTGCCATTGCCATTGCCGTTGCCGTTGTCCATGCCATTGCCATTGCCATTGCCATTGTCATTGTCATTACCGTTGTAATGGACATTGTCAATGCCATCGTCGTTGTCATTGTCGTCATGTGTTCCATGATGCAAGGGCAAGGGCAAGGCACACAAGGGAACAACAGGGGTGGGGGAGACAAAGAAGACTTGAAGGTCAACGAGATGAGGTCATGTTGGGCGAAACAACGACACCACGAACGACGCAGCAACAACACAAACAACACCATCAGCACCACCACCACCAACAACAACAACAACGACAGCAACCTCTTGGACCGATTTCGAAGCTGGATCGTTCCCCAATTACCGACCCGACAAACATCCTTCCAGCATCACCAACTTGCGATAATCTTTCAGCGTTGGCGCTCACCCTGCACTACCACTGTGCACCACGCCATCGAGGTCCAAAAATTCAGCCCCACGTGAAACAGTATCAACCGTACAAACCGCCGGCACTCCAGACCCATATGGCTGCATAATCGAAACCCGTAAGACTGCATCGCTCACCTCGGGGCGTGACTCGGTCATCATCCTTGTCGCCAGGAGGTCGAAGGGGTGAAGGATGCCAGCCCATAGTATTCTGGTGGCGAAGCCTTCGTACGTCTGGGCCAACACCTCCGGGTCGTTGACGTGACGGCTATAGCTGTCCGCTGAAACAGGCGGCAACGGGACACCAAAGGAGGGGGCCAGAAGAAAAGTTAGGGAGGGTTATGTCGGTTGGAATACTTACGCAGGGAATACGAATTTCTTGCTACTTTCAAGACGAAACCGGGGAGGGTGATGATGGGTAGGCGACAATATTGGGGGCAAGATGGACTTCTTGTCGTACTGACGACGAGGAGTTACAGGGAGAGTCTTGTTGGGTAGACAGAATGAGCTTCTTGTTGTGAGGGATGGTAATGTTGGGTAGACCACAATTCTGAGTGGTAAATTGAGGTTAGGTTGAGTATCGACAACAAGATACATGGTGTACAGAAAAACTGCTGCGCATCTCTTGTCCTACACTGTGCTCGTTGGGTTGTTTCTCACATCGCATGATGAATCTCGTGGTGACGCGGTGTGTGGTTTTCCAGTAGTAGTCCGTGTACAGCAGCTTGCTCCGACGGAAATACCTGCATGCACACAAGCGCTAGAGTTACCGTTTCCATAGTGAAAATACATCGTTTCAGCCACATCGCCATCCACATGGGTCGTCGGCTACACGGTATATCGCCGACTCCTGCGTGCGAACACCTACCGTTGGTGACATGATACACCAGGTAACAGAAGTCATAAGGATGACGATGACGTCATCACCTGAGGAGACCGGCAGCACAGACGGGTCCCCACCCTCGAAACAAGGACGATGTTCCCTCCTCCTTGATGATGGCCATCAAAGCCTAATGTTCACATCGCATTGCATCCACAAACGAGAACAAAAGGTTCAGAAAAATAGAGAGGTGCAGTGAGACCGACAGAAAGGAGGCCTCGCTATGCACACAACACAAAAGATTAACGAATGGAATAGGGGACCCGACAAATGAAAAAAGTTGGACCGACAGAGAAGACACCTCTCGTCCAAACACTAAACCTACACAGGTAGATGGACCGGCCAATATGGAGTAACGCGACGATTTTGACAGATCTAGCCCGGCCTATGCTGCCACAACCTTTGTTTGTTGTTTGTTTGTCTTCACATTAAACCGTATGTCAGTTGCTAAATGCCAAAATCTAGCAAAAGACTCTCAGCCCGTGGTCACGAAAGTGCTAGAGCCATCTGAGGATCTAAAGAACACGCACACATCTGACGAGAAAAAGGTATCCAAGAGCCCGAAGAGGTACACCTAAAAATCCCTGCAGCACCGTATGCGTGCCCAAAAACTGAACTGCACGTCCGTCCCACCGTTCGACTACAGTAGCATCACCCCCTCCCTGTCCCACTCTATACCAAAACGGAAGATTGCCGACTACAGCATA